GCCCACCCGGGGCCCTCTGGGCAGTGGCTGTGGTGCGAGTGGCAGGCGGGGCCATGTGAGGGCCCCTCGGTCTCGTGAGCCTCCACGTGGCTCTTGGTGATGGACTGAGGCCCAAGGCACTGAAATTAAGTGGCCGTCATCTGGCCTCTTTCAGACAACACCTTTGGTATATGCTCCTCCCGGTGAGAATCAAATCCAGTTACTCCTTTAAAAAAATGAATCCATTGAACCAGTATTTACTGAGCGCCTACTATGTGCCAGGCTCTCTGCTGGGTGCTGAGGACGTTACCGTGGAGAAGACAAACTGGCCCTTTTGTGAAGTCGGTGGCATATTTCACTTTGATGAACTAATGCTCAAAAAAGGAACTGGAAAGGTATCAGTGATTTGCAATAATTGTCTGCACAACACCTGTTAGCGTATGAGAGGGACACCCAGCCCCGGAGGGCCGCCGACTGGCCTGGGAGCCGGCAGCGGCCACCAAGAGGCAAGTGGCCCAGTGCCCCGGTCCTGCCCGCTGTCCACACGGTGCCGAGGCCCCTAGAGAGATGGCGCCGTGGGAGCCGTGTGTACACACACAGGTCTCCCAGACCATAAAGTTGTAACGGTGAGTCGGAGAGGAATTAATATTGTGAAATTCATGACCTGAGAAACTGAAGCTCCCATCACTCCTTGAACAAATGTATTGATACATTGTGCATAGATTAATGGGAACGATCACTTTGACAAAAATTAAACAACACTAAAGTAAAAAGATTGGAAATTGCCTTTGTACCAGGAGTCTGCTGGCAAGTGTCCGTTGCACTTGGCATTCTAGTGCAAAGTTTTCTCTCTTATTCCAAGAAGAGAAAGACGCCCTCTCTAAGGTGGAGCCGTGACTTGGGTCTGTCTCTTCGGGGCCCTCGGCCCTTAGACGGCAGAGTGGGTGGGCTGTGAGGGGCCCTGACCTTGGCGAGCCCGCGACTCACCATTACGATACAGGACAGTCAGCGGAAGGTCCAAGGTGAGGGCCGGGAGCAGAGGGGAAACCGAGGTGTGTCCAGTTTTGACCTCGGGTGCGAGAGCTGGCCTTGGCTGGCGCCGCAGAAGTGACCAAGTTGGTTCACATCTGTCGACAGAAGTGGCCCCTGGGGCTTCTGGGCCTCTGCTATAAACCAGCTGCTGAGACGTGTGGGCCCCCTTAGCGCACAAAAAGGCCAGAAGCCTTTCCCTTTTCCACATGAGGTCTCCGCCTAGGAGAGGCCCCTGGGGGGGGCCTGTCCCCACATGCACCCCCAGCCCAGGAGGTAGATGCCCTTAACCGAGCCCACGGCTGGTTAATGGAGAACCGTGCAGACCCACCGTCACTGCTGACCGAAGCCTGGGGGGGCCGGCCCGCCCCCGGTGAGAGGCGTCCCTGACCTGCCCCCCCCCTCTCTGTTTCAGCTATGTCTGGGCTGGTAGTCCCGCCAATGTGAGGGGCTCCTGTCACCTCCGGCCGTGCCCAGCATCCAAGGACGGACTTCAGGGGACACATTAGTACGTAAGACGTGCTGATGGAGACGTAACCTTCAGTCCATCAGCAGCGGTTGAAATGCTACAAAAGACTTTGTTTAAAGATTTTATTTAAACTATTAAGAAGCAACATGCAAACAGCCTACTTCTTCACGAACAATTCCATTTTATTGACTGAACTTTTCTCATATTTTCACATTTCTCAGTCCTGAAGAATAAGGGAAAACAAAGCAACGCCTATTTTGTATAAAGTTTCTGACTCCGTCTTGGCCATGTCTAGTACTTGCTCTGTGTTGGGAGAAACTTTGTGAATGCACCGTTTTGATGATCATGAAACACTGATGAAAAATGCCTCCAAACATTTTTCTGTGCTCATACTTAGATTCACAAGGGTTGTGTGTCTCTATAATGTGAAATATTTTTTTGTGGTGACAAAAGGGGGCCAAGGAGGTCTGAGCCATCGAACTGGAAGAAAGGAAGACTATATGGTTAGGAGACTCGGGGTGGCAGGGAGGGAGGGAGGGTTTATCATTGCTTAACTTCATCTTAATGAAATGAAACTTTGTAACTTATTGTAGTTAGAAATTGTAACTTTGATATTGAATTCTCTTGCCTTCAACAAGCACACTGACAGAGAAAAAAAATGCTACTGTCTGTTGGTTCAAATATCCCCCACTGCTAGAGCTTCCTGTTAATAAGCAAGCGTGACCTGCGGCATTTTTTTCAACCTTTGCTAGCTCTGTATACTATTGCATTCTTAGGCTACTGTGAGGTCCATGTTTCTTGTACCAGAAATTGTCCTTTTGACTTCTAGACCCTTCTTCCCTGATGTGTTTTGTATGTGGTTATAAAATTGTAGACTTTTGTGATTTTGCCAAAGTTGTAGCTAAATATTTATACACTTGTCTTGAATTTTTTTCAGATCCACTTAAATATTTAGAAAAAAAGAACAAGTTTTATTCCTTATGTGTCTTATAAGGAATAAAATGGTCTCCATTCAACACTTACTTTTCCATGAACACTTGCTGTTGCTAAGGGACTTTATTTTGTAACATATCAAGTATAAATATTGTATTTATCTTTGAAATTTTGTACATTGCTTTTCCCACCATTTTCTTTTCCTTTCTCTGGTCTGTATTGGTTTTTGATCATGGCCTGGTGGTGTGATGCTGAGAAGAGCATTAAGCCAAGGACTGTCTGTTTGATCTGTTTCGTTCACTGAACCAGTGTCCTTGTATTTCATTCGTACTTCCAAATTTTGCTATTGTTTAGACGTTCAGTCTTTTTTTTTTTATTTTGAAGAAAAGTCAAATTCATTGTTTATTTTTATATTATTTTTAAGTTATCTGAACAAATACGTTTGAAGAAAAAAAAGTTCATTGTATAGTCAAAGCGAGACGGTGCCACCCGGCTGCGACAAATCCTAGTAGATTCCGTGCATGTGGGACGGCAGAGGCGACACCGTTTGGGGCCGTGTCCTTATTTTATTTCATTTTTTTGGTAGAATGTAAAAAGTCATTTTAGCTGCCACCCATGACTTTGCCACATTAGCTGAACTGTGTTTACTGGAAAAATTCAGAGGCCTAAAGTTTAAAATAAAATTTACTTCTGACGTTTTAATTAAAATGTTTGCCACGTTAACTTCTCTGATGCCTTAAAAGTGGACTTCTTGAAAGAACCTTTGTGCTCTTTTATCACTGCTTCCACCGCAATTGTTAATCAATATTTCGTTTGGAAATTTATGGTGTAAAACACACACACGCACACAAACACACACACACACACACACACACACAAAAGCACAAGCTGGGGGTTCCGCATCTGAGTCTGCTGCCTTCTGCGTCCTCCAAGCCCACCTCAGATTCAGAGAGGTTTTAGGGGCCCCACAACCACCCCTCGTTTAAAATTCTTTTTTAACAACCCCCTTTTGTGGTCATGCCCCCACAGCACTGTACTTTTTAAACTGGAATGACCTCCTTCAGACACTGTACCTGTTGGTGCCAAACCCGCGGTGAGACCAAGAGGGTCGGTTTTTTTCTTTTTTCTTTTCCCTTTGCAGACACAGCACAGCAAACGTTTGCAAACTGCAGCAGAAATCAAATCTAAAACAAAAAGGGAGGGACTTTTTAAAAAATGTTCTTGACCAAAACCAAAACAAAACAATGCAGAATTTAAGAAAGTGTTCATACGAGGGACTAAATAAAAATCAGAAGGTCCCCGTGGGCGGCGGGTTGCACCCTGGCCCTGCGATGGTTGGCGAGGCTGAGCTACGTGGATGAGCTTGAGAAGTCACTTTGGAACTAAACTGCCTCCGTTTTCTCCTGTACGAGTAAGGGTTTGACCTAAAAGCGAGCTCACGTGTACATGTTAAGGACGTTTGCAAGCTTCTCATCCCCGCACTTGGTTTGTGTTTTAGATCCATTAGTCGCCCTCGTGGCTTCACAGCCTCGAAATCGAGCGCTTCACTAAATGGTAGACTTTACTGTTAAAGACCCTACGATAATAAGATTGTTTTATCTGTACATTTTTTCAGATATTTAACTGTATAAAAATGTTCATTTTACACAATATTTAATTAAAGTATTTCTTGTCTGTGAATTTCACTTTGGGTAATTTGATCTGTTTTGATTACTAATTGGCTGGCTGAACGTGCAGCGGTGACGGCGGGAGGCGGTGGGCGGGGAGGGCTGGCTCCTCTGTGCACGCGGCACCCCAGAGCTCGCGTGGCCAAGATAAAAATGATTTGTAGAAGAACCTCGTCCAAAGCTCTCCACCCTCAAACACTCATCGAACATACACAGAAGGATTCTTGTTACTTTGATGGCTCTGGTCCCCGGAAGGGCCCGCTGTATGTGTGCCGCACGCTCACTGGAACATCTGAGTGTGACTCTGGGGCAGACCCCGGAGGCCACAGTAGCACCAGGGCCCACAGACAGTCTCAAGGCTCCCCAGGGGCTTGGTCACCCTGCCTCCCCGCCCTCGGCCCTCCTGCCTCGGCCCCTGGCTTCTGAACAGGAGGTTTGGCAGGCAGAGGGCGCAGGCTCCCGCCACCCCAGGCGGGTGTGCCTTCTGTCCCTGTGCGCCACGGGGGCGCAGAAGGGCTCCGGACAGACGGGCAGATACCAGGGCCCCAGAGGCCGAGGGACGTGGCCAGCAATTCCAGGTCCCCGGCTGTGGCGTAACGGACCCCTCGCGCTGTCGCCGCCCCCGGGCGGAGGCCCCACCTGTGATGAGGTCCGCCATCAGCACGGGGCTCCCACTCACGGCCACGTTCAGCTTCTGTGCGTTTTCCGCGTTTTCCGCAGTCCTGCTCTGTTTCGCTCCGTTTCGTTTTCTCCTCAGTGAAAGGCTGGTTTTGCATGTTTTGGCTTGTAGCTCTCTAACACTTCCACATACGTGTGATCCAAATGAGTACGCACAAACGCAATCTTAATTACTTGTTCTACTGAGCAAAACAGGGAACAATTATTCAAAACATAAAGAAACTTTTGTGAACACCTTTTTCTTCTGTCAGTGACAACCAGGCTCCTTTGATTGCATTCTCCGTTCATCCTTAAAGAGACAGCAAAGAAAGTGGCTCGTGGGGGTCAAGGCTGCAGCCTGCCACCTCCCCTCCCCTCCCCCTCGGCCCCTTCCCCACGTGCTGGGGGCCCACATTCGCCTCCTCCCCTGCCCTGGGCGGGTGCCAGCAGGGCCCTGCCCGGGAGCAGGGTAGGGCTGCCTCCCAGAGCTGGCTGGCCAGGGCCCCGCAGCCTGGAGGTGAGAGAAATAATTTTAGGTTTCGTTTTGACGCCACAGTGAGAACTGCTGTCTCTCAAAACGTGTGCCAAGTATCGCCAGGCCGCCTTTCCAGGTCTCTCAAGCTTTGAAAGATTACTCAAAGCACTTGAAATGGGCTTCCATCTAATGCCTCATTTCATTGCATTAAACAGCCTAGTTAATAAAGAATCGATATATTCAAAGGGCAAGGTTATCTTTTGTCTATAAGGAGTGGTGTCATTCTGAACCTTTTATAGTTCAAATGCTGAAAAAGACCTCACGAAATCCATAGTCATCAAGCAGGTCAGCCGGGGCCGTGAAGAGGCCCTGAAAGGAAGGGGGCGCGCCCTCCCCTACAGCAGCCCCGGCCTTATCTCCTCGCGCGGCGCGCCCACAGCGGTCCTCAGAAAATGTCAATTTCTCATCAGGACAAGGGGCTGCGATGATCACTTTCTCCTGAGAAGACACACAATTAAGAGAAGGCAGAGGGGTGGCTGTGGCCACGATCTGGGGCTCCTCCGGTCCCCGTGAGCCATGCGCCCCCTCCCAGCAGATAATAAGGGTTGTTGATAACTCGAGTGTCAATATGCCAAAGAGTGAGTTTTCAATGTGAGTCCTTGTGCTCTGAGCCCGCCCGGCCGATCCCAGGCCCTGATAACGGCGCAGCTGCCAACGGACACCCCGGGTTGGTCCTCACAATTAATGCGATGAATAAATCACACAAAAGAGCTGGGATGCTTTATTCTCGGTGAGACAATCCCCTGCTTTACCCTTCAAGGATTCCTTTTATGTTGGAATAAGGTTGCTTTTAATGAAATTTAAACTCATCAGAGGAAATCAAAAACCTCCAATCAGATTACAAATTGATTTTTTGGTCATTTGTCATTCTCAGTCTGGGGCCGCGGGTTTCAGTAGGAGCAGGCTGCTGGTCTGGGGCTGGGGAACCCGCACGCACACAGCCAGCGGCCCCTGGCCCGGGGACACACGGGAGCGGCTCCTGACCCCGTGCAGACTTGGACTTGGTCTCCCCACCGCCCGGGTCTGGCAAAGTGGAGCCACAGCAACAGCAAGGCTTAACTGGGGACACCACCGTCCTCGGCAGGACTCACAGGGACTCCCAGGTCTGCAACTGTGACCCACTGGTGGCGGCTAATAGAGACATGTCCTCGGGATCGTGGTAAATTTGGTTCATGCCCTGACTCTGCTCTGTGCCACCCCACGTGGGGCCACCCGGAGCAGCCAGGCCCTGCAGCCCAAGAGCTTACAATGTGAGGTGGAGAGAAGACATGGCCAGTCCTACCTAGCATCCAGTCTGAGCCCAGACGCTCACTCCTGGGCACAGCCTGCCCTGCCTCCCAGCTGGGATGAGGGGGCCTTCCCTGTGCTCCCACCAGACACTGAGAACCCGCCGCCCACAGCCACAAGCCACCACCTCACGGGGTTCTCCTGTTGTGCCCAGGAAGGACTCTGAGGTTCTGAAGACAAGGCCCTGCACACCCCACCGTCCCACCCCTACATTAGGGGCACCGGTCAAGGCTGCAGTTTCCCACCAAACATGCGGGACTCAGTGCTGGTCTGGAGGCGCACTTCGCGGGGCCAGGGATGAGATCGGGGCAGGCGCCATCTCAGGAGGGAGCATCATTTCCAGTTCAAGAGTCCTCAGAAGCCACCTCTTACAATCCAGTCCCTCAAGCGAGGAGAGGCCCCTACGTCGTCCAGCAGCGGGCAAGCGCCGAGCCTCACCCACCCAACATAGCGCCGCAGGCTCGGGGACACCTGTCACGTGGTCTCGTTTGGCCTTCCCGTGGGGCTCTGCGTGGGTTCTGGTTCCCCTCTCTCAGGTGACAAAACTGCAGTTTGGAGAGGACAGAAGGCCAGCCCGAGGTCACAGGCTGGAAGGACCAGGGCCAGATGCCAAACAAAGTCTCCTGGCTCCTCCCACTGATTCAGGTTTCAGGGAACTTCACAAATTTCTTAAAAAGAGAGAGAGGACATCTGGATGGAGCGAGAACCACCATGTCTTCCTGGGAAGGTCTCAACCGAGCTCGGGGAAGGCACACGCCCCAGGGCTCGAGGGGCCCGGCTCAGCCCGGCCACCTGGACAGACTGTCAGGTGGAAACAGGCTTGTCCAGCCAACGTCAGCGGGGGCTCAGGGGGGGCCTCGCTGCAGGACACATCCAATGTCACAGACTCACAAACCTGAAACCAAGGGCAGAGGCTCCAGTCCCCAGCGCCTTTGAAACATACCAATAGGCCGGCAAAGAGCAGCTTCCCAAGTGCTCCTCCCTACTGTGCTCCGGGCGCCGCGTGGTCTGCAGGGTGGCCCCACAAGGCTGGGGGAGCAGGATGCCTGTGTGTCCAGGTGCCTCTTGGGGCCACATGGCACGTGCAGTGCAGCCAAGGGCAACAGGCCGCATGAAGGAGCCGTTCACATGGCGCAGGGACAGGAGAGGGACAGGAAGGGGCCAGGAGGGGGCCAGGTGGGGCCACTGAGGCAGCATTAGAGGGACTGGGCTGCGAGGGCTAAGCCCAGTGGCCAAGCCTCAGCCAGGTTACTATCGTCAAAGTGACGATGGGGACAGATGAGGATGAGGGAATGACAGACAATGGCGATTTGGGTGGCAGAGTCAGAATGAGCCATGGCGCAGTCAGAGGCAACGGCCAGAACAGAAACTGTCAGAAGTGAACACCAGTGTCCCACCACCCTGCCCCGTCAGACCACGCCCACTGCTGCGCTGATGGCGGCCATGGACCACTGCCCGCTCACCTGACGGTGGGTGTGACTCTCGTTCCCACCTACAAGGGACTGAGCCACTGCCTCCTTCCATGACCGCGGGGCCAGCGGAACCCAGGCTGGGGAGGGGCTGCAGCCACAAGGAGAGAGAGAGAGAGAGCGTCCTGCAATAATTATGACAAAGGGTACACATTCTCAATGTACAATGAGCTTTGGCAAATCAATAAGACTAGATGGACCCTCTGGAGAAAAATGGGCAAATTCACAGTCAACTCACAAAGGAACAATATAAGTGGTCAGCAAGCTTGGGAAAATAAATTCAGCTTCACTTAAAAATGCATATCAAGTTAAAATAATGAGATGAAAAATTTTCCACCTATTAAATTAGAAAAGATTTTTCTTAAAATCTGATACTCCATCCTGTTGATGGAGAAATGGCATTTTTAAGAGTTGTAGAAAAAAAGAGTAACTTGGTGTAACCTTTCTGGAAATTTCACATTATATTAAGAGACTCAACAATGTTCATATCTTTTGACCCACTAATTCCACTTCTAGGAATCAATCTTTAGAAAACTATCAGAGACTAGACAAGACTTTAAGTATAAGAGTGCTCACTGCAGTAACATTTATTGTAGAAAACTGGGAAGAACCCAAAAGTCTAAAATTAGGAATTGTTAATAGAATTATGGGCTAGCCGTACAATAGAATATTATATATTTTATTAAGCTATTGAGGTCATGCTTTTGAAGTATATTTAATGAAACAGTAAAAACTAATGACATAAACTTAAGTGAAGAAAGCATATAATATTATATACATAATATAACTCAAATTTGTAAATTTCTATGTAGAGAGAAGGCAAGAAGGAAAAAATACATATTTGGAAACAATAGTAGTTAGAATTACAGCAAAACCAAGCATGTTTGGGTGGTGAAAGCTGACACATTACATGCATTATTTTCTAAATTTTCTGCCAGAGAGACACTCAGGGTCACACAGAAACTGTGTGCTGCTCAGGCTCCCAGAGGGTAGTGTACCCCGTGTTGCTGAGTCCCACCCTGCCTTGTGCCGCAGCTGACGGGGCATGGCACCTCACTCGGAGCCAATCC